TGAAAGGTGAGTTTTGTAATTGGTTCACTTTTAATAGATGGTTTATTTTAAGTTGCCTAGCCTGATGATGCAATGAGCAGGGGAATGAGCTTGATTTGAAGATAGATTTCTGATCTTCTGGGAAGTGTTTCCACTTTAATAAGCTTCAATTCTCCAAGGAAATTCCTAAAGATGGTCAGTCACAACCCACTGGGGCTACCAGGAATCTGTAAATACACTCATGGGTGTGTACACACACATACAGGAATAGATAACTTTTGTAGTCACTGAATGCTTTGACAGCAGGGAGGGAACTGCAGGGAGAAAAACCTCCAACTTGGGGTCAATGGTTGGAGGTCCACAAATTAATTGACAATAGGCAGAGGAAGAAGAAAAAGACAAGGTTTATTTATGCACACAGGCAGAATGCTCAGTAATGCATAACTCACTCACTGGCCAGAGATTAAAAAGTTTATATACCAAACTTAATGGGAGGCAGGGGCATAGGAAGGTAAGGAAAATTCCTTTAGGCTTTTTGATGCTAAAACAAATGGGGAGTCTTTATCCATGGTAGCTGATTTTGCAGGATTTCCTTGGAGGAAGGTTATTGACAGCTGCATTTTCTGGGGTTTCTAGTCAGATCAAATATTTCACATAGGTTTCTTTGTGAATCTTCTTTAGTTCAAATTTTTGTTTGTTTGTTTCAAGATTTTTCTTTTCCAAGTTGGTCCCTACATTTTGCCCATTTGAAATGATTCTAGGAGTTTCACCAAAAACAAACAAACAAACAAAATCCCACTAGTTTTATTGTTGTGGAAAGAGATTCAAGTTAGAAGTTGTGAGAAGACACCTGCAAAGGGAGAAAGAAACAAAAGATTAAAAGACTGGACCCAGTTTGAGTCCAGAGGGTGGCCAGTTAAGAATGTTCCTAATAATGTGGGGTTTGAAGCTTCTGCAGTGAGGCTGGCAATGGAAATGTTACAGTCATGGCTATTTGCAGGAGCAGACATAGAAGATGTAGGTGTTTCATGAATTTTTCTGTCATCCCAAATTGTTGTATAATAAATCCTTTAAAGTTATATCATGTCATTCAGCTTTAGCTTGCAGGGGTTCAGGAAAAGGGCAGTTTTGGTTCTCAGTGATGCCCAGTCAGGAGAGTAGGAGAAAATCTTAAAATACTAATTACTGACAAAATGTGCAAGATGATCCAGTTTACAATGAAGTAAAAATAAATAAATAAATAAATAAATAAATAGTTCCAAGACAATAAATGGGTCTAGAATCTGATAACTATAGTTTTCCACTGAAATATAAATTTCTCTCTACAGTCAGCCCCATTTCCATTAAAAATTATCAAATTAAGATTACTTTTGTTTACAAAATAAGCTGGTCTCATTAAATTTGGCCTGATCATTGACATAAGGGCAGAAAGATGACTGACTCCTTAGGTGTTTTAAAGTTTGCTTTGCTGAAACTTTTATGAGAAATCTCAGATTGGACTTTTTAAAGGCTTTTATAGCTTGGAAGCCAAGTCAAGAATCTGCGTCAGACTTCATCTGCAGTCCATATAGATTAGGGTGAATTCCCTCCTCTCAGTCCATGTAGATTAGGGTGAATTCCCTCCTCTTAAATTTTCTGGGCCTGCCGTAAAGTGATATTCATTATGCATCTTTAAGGGTTAGAAATCCTGTAAGCCAGTTACCAAACCAGTTTTTCCAAGACAGCTTTGTAAGTGTTGGCTCCATAAAGTCAACTTTAGTTCCTGTATGTCTGGTCATGTCTGTTTCTCTGCACGTCATTCTCAAATAAGACATTTCAATCAAAACCTTGTTAGTATAACTAATTTTCCTAATTATGTCCTGTTACAAGAATAAAACATTTGTATTGAACTTATGTCAAAAACTTTTTGGCAAATTTTCATTTGCCATGAAAATAAGAATATTTAATATGGGTTTATGAATTCTAGGGAGAACATGTAGGGAGAATAAAAAAAAGTGTTTCATTTTTGTTTAAAAGGTATAATATACTAAATTGTAGTGAATTATAAATATGTTAAAATATGGGTTCCTTATATTCATAAAATGTATTATTAACATAAAATGATCATTCTTCCTCAGTTCATTCAGACACATGTAATTAATCCTTATTTTACTTAATCTCAGGTTATCAGTTTTACCCACTAGGATTTTAGAAATATTCATCCATTCCAGTAGTATGAACTCAAAGTTATTTATGTAGTCATCAGAAACCTTTATCCAGAGTACATATTAGAGACCTTTCTGGGGATTTCTGAGATACCCCTTCTCTTCACGATGAGGCGTTCTGACTTGCTGCTGCTTGTAACAATTTCTGCAAAACGTAAGGATAAAAACAAGTAGCTATCTGTTATAAAAGACTCAAAATAGCTGTGGTTAAAGATTTGATGAGAATTTGCTATAAAATTATGCAATTGACAAGGAAATTTGACTGTTTCTGTGACATACATTTTAAGACAATAACCAGAATTATGATTGATATCATTTTTTCAGGACAGTTAAGGATATTGACAAATTCCTGGAAACTTCATAGTCTCTTGAAGTACTTCTAATAGTGTTTACCCATGTAAATATAACATAGAGAAAGTTAACTATCTCTTATTTGATGATAATGTTTGGTGTTCTGACTTTTTAATGCACCTGCAATCATCTGGAGAAGAACAAGGGAGTTTTTGAAATCAGGAAGAAACATAGGTGGGCTTTTTTACTTTTACAACCATATTTCTTTTGTACATGTTTGATTGTAAGTCAAGGACAGGTTTGTGTTTTGTTTTTTTTTGTTTGTTTGTTTTTAGTTTTTCAAAGAATTGAATGAATGGCAGCCTCAACAATAACATTAAGGACACTGCCTATCCAACTACATGATTTAAAATTTGCTTTTTAAAATTTTTTTCCATTGGAGAGATCTTCAACTAAAATGGAAACCAAAAGATATCTATGTTCTGGGGCTTCTGGAATTAGAGTTTGGTGCATTTAGAACATTTTATAAATCATTTGACAGAGGCTTGTGAATGTATTTCTTCCCTCTGAGTACACACTGTTCCACCTTGACCCAATTAACCTTCAAAGGGAAGACTTCTATAATAGCTCTTATAGCTCTTATCAGGCCCTGAACATTAACCTCCAACTGGGCCATTTTCAGGAAAAAAAGGTGGTATAAGTGAGCTTATGGTGAGTGTAGATTTTAATTTTTGTTCTGAATCTGATTTTTGTTCTTTAATTTAGTGAAGGGAGTCTTTTAGGCTAGCCATGACCCATTTTTTTTTTTTTTGTCCTTCCAATTTGATCCTTCCATATAGGTAATGAGCCATTTGTTTAGGGTAAGAGCTCTCCCAAAATCCTCACAAATATAAAAGCTTTTCCAAATCAAATGATTTGTTATTTGATTATTGACAATTTAGGCTCTCTAAAAGCATACCTGTTCCAAAATATGACTCAAAATTAATACAAATTTTTATGGCTTAACTATGGACATAAAAGGCATCCCCAAATAGGTGCAGAAGATGCAAAGCCCTGTGATCTGAGGTCATTCCAAAAGATAGTGAAGAGAAGGCAAGCAAAGGCTGCCATTGGCACAGAGAGTAAGAAGGATGCTTGCAAAAACTCTCATCTTCAGGCTCCCACAGAAGTGATGTGTTCATGACACCTGACAGACAGTACTGAGATGGGACTTCCTACCACTAGTAGGGCAACAGGAAAGAGACCATAAGAGCTAAAACTGGCTGAGGCCCTTTATTTTAGACTTAGATGAATCCTCCAAGAGCTGGCAATAGTTGGCATGATGCCAGCTGCAAATGAGATGCTCAAGATACTTGCGTTTCTATCCAGTTGACTGCAAATTCTTGAGCCCCCAACCTGACAGTTGGCTGCTTCTGAGCATAGACTTGACAATCTGTCCTCCTCCCCACTCCCTGCATGTAGAAAGCCAGAGAGTGAACACTGTCACTGGAACCAAGCCAAGCTCTCAGAGCACAAAATGAACAGACAGGACACCATGGCTGTCTTTGGAAGAAAAGGAATCTATGGCAAGAGCACTCGAGCCACAAGTCACAATACACCAGTCACAATACACCAAGGACTAGTTCCTACCATGTCTGCTCCTGCTAATCTCAATCTTGGAGGGAAAAGATAAAGAGAAGCTCCTACAACCTTTACTTGACAGGACTCCAGAGATCTGGGATTTTGGTAAGAAATTTGTCAGTTGGGTCAGAGACCTCAGGGGCAGTTTCTGGAGGAGCAGAGTTCCAAACAACCCATTCATTTCACCAAAACTGGGAGAGGAAAATATTTCCTCTTCCAACTTGAGTCCAGTGGTTAGGGTCCCAAGAATTATTTGACAATAGAGAGATGAATAGGAGGAAAGATAGGTTTACTTTATGCATATATGCAGAAATACTCAGTGATGAGGCCCTCCCTCAGTACCCTGAGAGAAAAAGGTTTGTATACCAAACTTAACAAAAAAGGATAGGGGGCAGTAGCAGATGATTAGGACATCAATGGGAAGGTACTGAAGCTTCTAATTTTATTTTTATTTTTTTCTTGCTAATGACAATGGGGGCATTCTGTCTCTCTGGCAGCTGAATTCCAGGAAACTACCAGCATGAGGGTTAATAGCAGCTGTATTTTCTGGGTCTTTGCAAGGTAAGTGAAATTCAGATAAGATTTCTTTCTGTATCTTCTTTAGCTAACAAGTTTTTACTTAAAATAATCTTTAAATCTAGTTCTAGGGGTCTGAATAGATTCCCAAGACCTGAGACATATATGATCATAAGAACTTTTATAAAGGAAAACCTCCTGAATCCTTTCTATGGCAAGTTTTAAGATACACAGCATTACTATGACATGCTTGAGAGCTTCAGGAAGTTTCAGTGAGGTTCCTGGTGACAGAGACATAGCTGCCTAATACAAGCACACTGCAGGGTTATCAATAAGGTCTCTGCCTAGGCTGACATCATCCTGGGCTTCATTCCAACAATGTGAGCTGTGGCTTCTGTGCCCACAGTGAAGGCTGGTGCTTAACTTTATTAAATGCCTCAGATTCAAAGCCTGCTACTTGTCTTCAGAAAATCATTGTGCAATCATCTCCAGAGTTAAGTAATATTATGTTATCCTTTCTTCCTCCTCCTCCTCTTCTTCTTTCTTTTAACCTATCACAAACAGGAAAAATGGTTGTTTATATATTTCAAGTCTCAACTTGATCTTATAACTGCAAACACTGACTTACAAGGAAATTTTATTTGGGGAAATATTTAAAATATTAAAAGTGGAAATTCTAAGTGCTAATTTTAAGATACCATATTCCATAGTTTCTATTTCTTTTTAAATAAAACTAGTGCTATCTGCCAACAAGGAAAATGAGTGCTCTGTCCATTAGTCTTCCTCACAACTTCAAGAACTTTGGCATTATCAACAGAGGTAAGAACATCTCCTTGAAAAATCTGTGGTCTCAAGTCCATACTTCAAATAGCTCATTCACCAAAGTGTAGAAAATATAGAGCATTGGCCTTTTTTTCTTAGAACATGGAAAAAAAATCACTTTAAAAAACAGGATGAAATTTCTTAAAAATGGACCACGTGGATGTGGTGCTTGCTAGCCCTCAAGCACACTGAAGATCAAGAGGGATGGAGAATAGGAACATGGCCAGAGTCGTTCAGAGGTGGGGAAACTTCTTCACTGTTCACTGCACTAATTGAGACATTGCTAATTAGTGGTTAAATGTTGGCTCCCCACAATATTGCCAGAATAACCTGTTGGAACTGGGTGTGCATTGTAAATATTCAGTAGCTTTCTTGACTCTACCCTCCAGGTGCCAGCAGCACCTCCAGTCATGACAATAAGAAATATTTCCAGACCTCACCAAGTATCCCCTATGGGACAAAACTGTTCCCAGGTGAGAACCAATTCCTTACAGGTGAGTGATTGAGAATAGTGCTCTGACAAAGTCTTGGTAGAGCCTCCAAGGGGGAAGGGCAAAATTGGAAATATTTTTAAAATTTTGAACGTTGGCTATTTTAAAGCTTATCTTTTAATGCAGAGGGAAGTCTGGTTAGGGTCAAATGAGGATCATATTATAACAGTTTAGGAATAGTTGGCATAGCAAGGTATAACTGCCCTTGTTCGCCTCCCTGTAAACTCTAAGAATATACTGAATTTATCAGGGACCCAAAATGTTCTCTCTGCACTCTGGAAGCCTTATGGAGGGAGAAGTAGCTCCCCATAAATTCCTCCATCTATGTTCGTAACTGAGCATGCTCTTGGATGACCACTCACATGTGCAGGGTGATTTGGGCTGGACTTTAGAAATGCTGCTGCTTGTAAGAGTTGAAGAACCAGAAGAGCACAGGTGGCCCTAGCTTGGAGAAGACTAAAACTCCTTTTCTGAAGTTAATCCACTGAATGTTTATTCAATCTATTTTCCATAGGTTGTTTTAAAGATGATACCTTTTTTTCATAGATGTGACCTTGAATCCATTGCACTGTGGAGTTCTGCTTCCTTTCCTAATTCTGAAAATGAGCCACATTCTTCAAGTGGGATATTCACTCATAGCTTTCCAAGCACCAATCTAGGCACTGCATATGAATTTCCTCACTCCTCACTTGGTCACATAAATTCTGCGATGGGAAATCTGATACTCAGAGAGGCAAGATTTACAATTTAAACCTATGTCTGTGGGGGCTCCAATGTTGGTGATTTCTCTACTACAGAATATTGTCACCTACTTGTCAATTTCTCAAAACAATAACAAACAGAAAATCCTAAAAAGAACACATAAAACATCTAGTTGTGGTTGAGCCTGGATTCATACACAATATTTGAACAGATTAACTGTTGTTGTTTTTCTTTGGGGGAGGGTTGCACTGGCAAGCAATAGACAATTACAAGGGGACATGTCTAATTTGACCATAGACCAACTAAAATACTCAGACAACTTCTAAGTACCACACTGCCAGTCCAATAGTTTTGCCTAACCCTAAAAATAAGTGAAGTAGACCAAATCCATTGTTTGATAACTGATACTGATGAAAATGGGAGGGGAAAAACAAAAACAAAAACAAAAAACCCCAACACACCATCCTATTTTCCAATGCAATTTGAGGGCTACAATAATTTGGTAATTAAGTGACAGTGAAGTTTGTCAACAAAATGGTAGTGGGTCAGCAGACTTTCACTGGATAACACTGTAGATGAGAGTGACACTGGAATTAAAGGCCTCTTGGAAAAGGGGGTTGAAGAGTACCTTTTCTATGATGGTCTCCTTTTAATGGAGATTGTGGTGTATTATGTTCAGGGTAGTAGATTCATAAATGGACAGCTAAATGTGATTTAATTTGCAGAACTTTGTAAGATTGTTTTTAACATGAATCAGAATTCTTTACTGTTTCAGCTTTGTCCAGTGATAGCTGTGTGGTGCTGAGTAAGGCTCCTGGTCTCTCTGGGACTTCATTTTCTCCTCTATAAAAAAGGGGGTTTGGATTATATGATTCTTAAGGTCCCTTTCTGCTCTTGAGTCAAATCAACTCAAAGACACGTTATTAACTGTCTAGTGCCCTCTATAGGCAACTTCCTCTGCAATGTGAAATCCATAAAGGGAATGTTAGCAAGATTTTCTTGTTATATTTAATGTTATGGCTTAGTGGCCAACATAATATTTTGTTATTTAATGAGATACGCTGTAAAGCAATTAAAATTTTAGATGTCACCTAGGCCTCATTTTACAGATATAGAAGAGGAGGACCATTTTGGCCATGAACATTTCTAATTCCTTTGGGGTAAGGCCAGGACTTAGATGCAAATCTCTTGATATTCAGGTCAGTTGTACCCAATAGTGACCTTTCCAAACTTTCAAGATTATCAGCAAAATACCCTTCCTTCTCCTTCTCAGATAGCACTGGAACTCATCATTTTCTAAAATTTCTATACACTTCTTATCCTTAACAGTTGATGAACTGTGGATTTTTCCATTCGGGTGGGAAATGGTTGCCTCTGCATTGCGTAATAATTATGTATGCCTCTCACTGTAAAAGGTTGCTTTCTTGCAACCTTTACTGTTACTGATGGGGAGGTCCTTTACTGACATTGCAGGTGGAAAATGTATGCATGCTCAATAGCTGATTGATTCACTTTCAGTTCAAGAACTGCAAACATTTTTAATCCTTCATACTGAGATCTACTCAGAAGTTGGGACACGCTATTCATTTCTAAGGTGGAGGACATAGAAAAACTTGTCATGGACAGCCTTCAGTATAAATCTGCATCTGTTGAAAACTTTAAATTTAAAAAATCATATTTCAATTTTTTAATACATAATAGCATGTATGCTTTTTAGAAAGCTGTGAATTCATATAAGGAAAAATTTAAACATGATAGCACCATATTCTTATCATCCATAGATTACCACTGTTAACACCTGTGTCTATGTCCTTAAGGCTTTTTCTATGCATATATAAATACACATATGCATATTTTTACCAAAATGAGATCATGTTGTACATGCTGTTTGTAACCTGCTTTTTTTAGTTAATGATCTCTATCTTTTCTTGCCAATAACTTTTTATCTTATCTAAAACCCAGTCTAGATTCAAATTTCCCCTGCTTGTCCTCTTTACAGTTGGTTTATCCAACTTACTCAAATGTAGGGCCCTGGGTTGCATCTAGTTATGATGTTCTTAAAGCTCTTTAATCTAGCATGGTCTCCTCCCTTCCTTTATTATTTTTTTCAAAACTTTTTGTTGGGGAAAAAAAACAGGGAAGGTTGAAGTTTACTTCATATATTTTGTTTTTTTGTTTTTTCTTTCAGATTTTATTCTTCACATGAACCAGATTTTTAAAACATTGCCCAGCTTTCTGGTTTATGTTCATCTATAGGAGATACTGCCTTAATGGTATGACAGATGGTCAGCTGCTCAAATGTGAAGATTTAGTCTAAAACGAAATCTGTAAACCTGCTCAGAAGCCTGGAAAACATCTCTGTTTTTCTTTAAGTTTCCCCTCCAACTGTCTCTCCATCGAAGAACAAAGGAAAATCAGTTGGAACCAACATCAGGTCCTGTGAAAAGCTGCCGTGGTCCCTGTCCTCATGCACCATGTAGTCTAGTGGGGAGTTGGACCTTAAGTTAATCACTAACAGGAAATGCTTAAGTAAATAATGACAAAGGCAAGTGCTAAGAAGAAAAGTATGGAGTCCAAGCTGACCAGGCATGCAACCTGGCTCAAGGGAAGAAAGGACAGGTCTGGCAAATGAGAGGAATAATATTAAGTTATTTATGGAGAAAGAAGGGAAAGACTGTCTTACACAATGGGGATAGCATTTGCAAAGGGTCTGAGGTTGAGGACTGATTTTTACTATGGCTGGGATAAAGTGAATCAAGGGGAGGGGCAATGGGTGAAATGAACTGAGATGAAACAGGGATGAAGCCACAGGCCAGCTCACAGCTCAGGTTTTGTGAACAATTTTGGACTTGATCATACAGAAGGGGGAGCAATGAAGAGCCCTAAGTAGAAGACAAACATGAAGAAATTTATGTTTCATTAAGATCCTGCTAACTATCGGGTAAAAGGTGTTTTGAAGGGATAGGAATGGAGACAAGGAATCATTTAAAATGCCGTTGTGGCTGTCCAGCTGAGATTTGGTAGCTTACCTTGATGGGTGATTGGAATGGATTGAAAAGGAGTGATTTTAGAGATATTTAGCTAATTAGGAAGTGGAACCCAAAAGATTGGGGACTGACTAAATGGGTGTGAGGGAGAGGTGAAAGAAGAGGTGCTAAAGAGGACAGGCATTAAGACAGTTTCTGTAAAGTGATTGCATCCCAATTCAAGCTGACTTGCGCCTCAATGAAAATTTATTAATAAATACTAGAAAAGTCTGGGGATAGATCAAATGCTTCAGATATTGCTGGACCCAGGAGATCAGATGATGTCTTTAGAAGTAGCTCTCTCCTATCTTTTTTATCTGCAGTTTTGGCTTCACCCTTTTGACAAAGCTTTCTTTATGGTGACAGGATCATTGCTGATGACTCCAGGTTTATATCCTCATAGGGCAGCAACTCTAGAAGAAAGGAATTTTTCAATATTTTCAGCAATTATTCTAGAATGGAGCATCTTGGCTAGACCTAGGTAATATGTTTACCCCTGGAGCTTGAGGGTAGAATCAATTCCACCTAGAGCAAATACACATAAAGTGGAGAAGGGAATTTGAAGAGCTATTACCAGTATAATGGTGAATGGATGGTAGGTAGGCAGGAATGACATTACTTATTACCGGGAACTCCTACAATTTTTATGGGCTCAACTGTGTGGATAAGGAGATTTTACCCTTGAGGAAGAGTTTGGTATTGAGGGGAAATATCACAACTTCAGAGGCTTTTCTGAGGCTTATTAGACTTTTTCATTGGGATACAGAGTAAGCAGATGGATATATGGATCTGATGCTCAGTAGAAAGTTCTTAGCAGTTCAAGTTTTGGGAGATACCAGTGTACAGGATACTGATAAGATCATCTGAGGAGTGTGTCGAATGTGAAGAGGAAATTTAATAACTGGGGTAAAGGAAGAGGAGAAGGCTGTAGAGCACAGTATAAAAGAAGGTCTAGTCAGTTAGTTAGAAGGAAACCTAGTGGTAATGGTGCCATAAAAGTCCCGACTCTTTCCTGAAAGTAAGTATGGAATGGCTTACTGTGTGCCATGCCTCTGAGAGAGAAAATCAGATGAGGATGTGTACCTTGAACATAGCAACATGGTGATGGTTGGTGACCTTAGTCACTAGGACAAGTTTAGGTAGAGCAAAGAGGAAGAAGGCACGATTAGTATGGGGTTAAAGAATGAATAAGAATTGAAATGATAGCAAAAATTAGAAATTTTCCACAAAGGAGTACAGATTGACAAAACAATGTCTGGAACAGGAAATGGTCTAAGGAAAGTTTTTGTTGTTGCTGTTGTTGATTTAATTTTTTTTGGTAAAGAAACTTGAATATTTAAAAAGAAAGTTGGAAATGCCCAAGATAAAAGACTGAAGAAGATAGGATTCAAGGCATAGGTTAATGGAGAAAACTTGGTATAGAGAAGGACCAAATGCTTCACTATAATTGAAAGGGAAAAGGATGAGTACTGCTACAGGAAAGTGTGTGGGTCTAGTGACCAGAAGTTGCAGTTATTCTCTTATAATGGTGTTTGTTACAAAGTTACATTATCTCCTTAGAGTGAACAAGGAATCAGAGATTTGAGAAGAGTTGAGAGACTTAAAACAATGTGCAGAAAAATGATCTCAAGCTATAATATGATCTCTAAGCAATGCCTATGGCTGGGAGGCCAAGTTGGCCTGATCTGACCAGTTGGCTATTTCCTATGATAGAGCTCAACAGCCTCTATATGGAACCTGAAAAGATGGATGGCTGGTCCTCTGGATATGACGGAAGAGCAAAATTTGACAAAGGAATTGGTGGAGTAAAACCCTACCATAACATTTCATATGGGGCTGTGGGCAAAAATTCAACTACAAAAAAAAAAAATGGAGAACATTTTTATGGTTAGCTTAGTGAAATGAGAATGGGCACTGGTAAAGGATAGGAGCCAACCACCAAATACTGTCTAATGAATTTACGTTACCACAGGAAGCTCTCTTGGGCTTTTACTGAGTT